TTTTTTTTTTTTTTTTTTTTTTTTTTTTTTTTTTTTTTTTTTTTTTTTTTTTTTTTTTTTTTTTTTTTTTTTTTTTTTTTTTTTTTTTTTTTAGTATATTAATTTAAAATTTATACAGTATTATTAATTTCAAAAATTTAATCTTTTCTGAAGAAAATTAAATCCAATTTAATAATTTTTCTTCTTATTCTCTTTTCAAAAAAATTATTTCATAAACAAAAATATAAATGATATGTGAATCAAACAATTCTTCCAGTAAGAACAAAATTTAAGCTTTAAAATATTTCAATTATTTTAATTAATTTCGTCATATTTTAGTGCTGAATATTGAAAAATATGTTTTTAAAGATCAATTTAAAAACAGAAATTATCAACATAAAACACATTCTTAGGTCCAGATCTGCAACATTCACATGTATAAAGTTTTATATTTCATGGACATTTAACTAAGATGATATTTATTTCTAAGATGATATTATTTAATGATATTTTTGTAAGTTGTTTTCTCTATATTTTTTTAGAATAATTTGAAGTCATTAAATATATTTAATTCAATTCATACTTGAAATTTTTTAAATATTTTGAAAGTATATAACATAATTTCCCAATATGATTAGGTTTTTCAAAATTTTTTTTAAAATAATCATTAGTCTTTTTCGCTATCTAGCTATCCAATTTTGTTTCGAATAGCTATAATTCGAAAAATAATATTACATTGTTAAGTTAAAAAAAATAATAATAACCATGTGTAACATACAATATACTCTAATATACAATACGCTCTAATATACAATAAATGTTAGGTTATTATTTTAGAATTAACGATGTGTTTAGATTATACTTCGTTAAATAAGAAACATATTTAAATATGGCACGTTGGAAGATATATATACATATATATTAATTTGTGTAAATACATATATTTTTCCTTTTATGTAAACTTAATTTTTATCTTAGACTAAATCAGATGACTTGTTAAAATTAAAAGTCATTTTAAAATGAAAATTAATTCCTTCATTTGTTTTAATTTTTTTCATCCCTTCTCCTTTATCATGAAAATTGAATTAATTTTTCACCTTGGAATAAAGCAGAAAAATCAGAAGACTTGTTAAAATTCAAAGTCATTTTAGAATAACATTAAATTTGAGAAATCAATCTCTTTTACGTCCTTCCTTTGTTTTAGCTTTTTTTATACCTTGTGCTTTATCTTTAAAATTAAATTAATATCATAAAGTTAAATTTAATTTTTCGTATACTGAAAATTTATATTCATGATTTAATTCAAATCTATGTCAGAATCAATATGTAAATCACAAATTATTCCTGATTCAATATGTTTTTGCGGAGCGAAAAACCATTTCATGTCGTTATGATTAGAAGGCATCAACAAAATGTCTTGCTCAACTTTAACAAATTTAAAAGAGTAAGAATACAAAATTAATTAAATGTTAATGCACTTTTTTCTTATTAATTTGTTTTCGATTGATAAATCATTTTTTGTTAACTAATTTGTTGCTGTGAATATAATAGTTAAATCATAGTCATAAACAACGGAAATAATTTAAATAATTGCAATTAGTTAATTACAATATAAATAATGCAACTAATTTTAAAATATTAGATCGGACGAAGTTTATGACTTTGCATTCAGAACATAATCTTAAAAAGTATAACCCTATAGCNGTACCAGTCATCCTCTGTAACTCTGTGGGGGTAACATTTTGAGCTTGTTAGGTGGGTCATCTTGACCATCATTTAGTAGCAGGTATTCCTTTGTAACACTCCTTACAATGCCTTTTGTTCATTTTTGGGGGAATAAGCTTGTGACTAACCGTACCCGTCATCTTATATAGAATGTATATTGCAACCCCAGATGGAAATCAGCATGAAGTCCGCTATGCATTCAATAGGTTAAAAAGATACCTACACAACTTATAGAAATTTCTTATGGAAGGGAATACTTATATTACTCATACTTTTATTGCATGAAAATTCTATTCACTCTTTTTTTTGTCCACTTGGGTGAGTTTTTTTACTAACGGGCAAAAATTGAAAGACTGTTTTAAAGTTGCACCTTTTCGTTTAAATTACTCTAGTATTTTCTTAAAATTGAACCTCGCGCTATGACATCCGTTTTCCCTTGCGTAGATGGGGTTGTTTTAAAGAGCGTCGATTGCATTTTATCAGGAATATTGAGAGTTACAAAATGAATAGTCGAATGTTTCATCAGAGATACACTGTGAATTAATCAACAGATTTTTTCATGATCTATTATTCAGTATGTATTTCATGAAAATAAATACTTATGTTGTAACTTTTAATAGTCTATAGCCCTTTTTGGTGAACAAAAGAATACAGTGCAATTAATGTCTTTTTTTTTATTTATTTCGCCTTACTACCCGCCCTTCTGGCTTTTACCTTTACGTCATTACATATTGTCACAAGAGTCAGGATTCGCACCAATCACAATCTTAATTCTCATAAATAGCGTAGTTTCGTAATTTAACTAATGGCCCTAATGTTCTTATTATAATTTTTTGCAATAACGGTACTGATATCTCTTTTTGATCTGCTACAAATTATAACGTGCTTCGATTGGAACTTTCCCTATTATTATTTGTTACGTTTATCAATGACATTGGAGTGTTCTGTAAAAGCTGTTCGTAATTTTTGCAGTGGCCGAATTTATAATTCATTCCAAAACTGATGTCAAAAAAAAATTTCGCTCATTAAAGGTTAGAAATTAATATTTAAGAGAGGAATAAACAAAATGGATTATCTTAATCTAACGAATAACTGCAGAAGAAGAAGAGGCTAAAAATTTCTGTTTGATCGCAAGCGAATGTTGAGTGGAGTTAAAAGGTGATCATTGAAATCACCTTCAAATCGCATCAGGAAATCAAACTAGTCTGAACGTTTATTATTCTACTTCCTTGACTAGTGATAAAACAGCGTATTATGTCGCATTTTACTTCCCAACTCAAAGAATTATTTTCAATGTCTTATTTGCTTTGTTCTGAATTAGAATTCAGCAAAAATATTTATTTCTTTTTTTTATGATACATATTATATATTTTTATAATTCTCGCAAAAGTGTGATAAAAGTACTACGTTTATTAGGATTCTGAAGGAGAAAGAATAGACAGATCTTTAAAATCTGATCAATCACAATTGATGTAAGTAAAAGCAAAGACAGGATTAAAATAATATAAAAACTTTTATTTGAAAATTAAGCTGAAATGGGAATGCTGTCCAGCTTCGCTAGGCAATTGGATACTTGCAACAAAGACAGATAAGCTGTAGTTCTAATGATTGGATTTTCACGTACTGAGTGTCAATCTTAATAGTTCCTGGAGGTGACCTCAGATATGTAAATTATTTAGTGCTAACTATTAATTAAGTTACGAAATCGGACACAAAAATGTTTTTTTTTCTGAAAAAAAAAACATTTTTTTTAATATATTTGGATTCTTAACCTTCAAAATATAGAGGGTAACAGCTATCTGTGAAATATGGTCCCCGTAGTTGCGTCAGGAGAACGATCCAAAGTTTGGACACCTTAACGTTAATTTCACTTTTTGCATTTTTAGTCACATTTTTAAAACTTATTGAGCAATTCAAAACAAATTGCCCTCACTTATAAAACCCACTTACCCAAAGAAAATTTCATGTTAAAATATTTCTAACAATTATTTTTTATTATTTAATTTAATTGTGGATGAAAACACTTTGAATTACGAGGTATAATTTTTTTATAACATATTAATCTACGTATTTTTCTATTGCAAAATCTAAAGTTTCAACAGTTTTTATTTGGTAGAAGCGGAGAAATATTAAAATTAATTATTAAAAAAAAATAATTTGGTGACAATGAAGAAATATTTAAAGGGGGCGATTAATCTTTTCAAGTGGTTAAGTTACGAGGAATTAGACTTACGCTCTCGTAGAGCGAAATTTCATTCATATTTCCTTCAAAACCGATTGCTAATCCTTTTTTTAAATTATAAAATACGATGTTTCTTTTTTAATTTTTAAAAATTTATTCGTAATTTAATAAAAAGACTTGAATAAAACATTTGTTGAAAAGAAACATTACATTAACGAATGTTGAATTTATAACGGCATGTTTTTGATAGAATGAGATTATACTTCAACTTTTTTTAAATTTTATTTGTTAGTTTTCAATAATTGATACAATTTCAATAATATACAAACGTAAGCATAGATTTGGAATAATATATTTATCAATTTCTTCAATATATATTTTAAAATCATTAATACGAATACGTGGTCAACTTTTTCAAGCATCTTAAAATCTCTCAACATCTTTTATATCGTTTTAATCTTAAAATGAATTTGTTAATTACCTGTCTGCGCCTGTTTCGCAAAATTAATTTTCCAACTATTTAATTACATTTTTTTAATATTTCTCAAAATCTTATTCTTTACGCTACCACGTACATTATTTTTCCATTAATATACTAATCAATTGTTTTAGTACTTTAATTTATGTTTTTCTTTGAAATAAAATTCCTTTTTAAATTATTA